AGCCACAAGCAGACAGGGAAAGCAAGAAAAACTGGGCCCTTCTGGGGCACCTGAGCACACAGCTCTAGGCAGGGAAGGAACTGATTCTGCAAGCTCTCCAAAAAGGATGAGGGGTCTCCCAGTATGACTCATGGGAAGGGACTGTGGGCTGCAGCAAGAGCTCTGAATGGTGCAGTGGAGACCACATCCCTTCTCATGCCACCCCCACAGCTGCCCCCTCCAGCCTGCCCTCATGGGCAGACCACACTCATAAAACAGGTCAGATGCAGTTCTCTGGAGCCCTGGCTCAGGTGCCTTGGACAGACACATGCCCCTCCACACCCTACAGTCTGTGTACACTCTATCCTTTTCCAGTCCTCAAGGTGGCTCTCTCCCACCTCTTTGAACATCACATCCGTGGCCCCTACATGCCCCCTGCTGCATGCCCACAGACCACTGGCACTCTGTCCCCAACCCGACCTGAAGGCTGGTGCACAGCAGGACCTCAATAATCCCAAGGAGTGGTCAGAAAAACCCTGGGTATCTCTAACACAGCTCAAAGGGTACATCTATGGAAATACAAAAAGCGCTGTCAGTGCTGCTGAAAAATACACTGAGGTTCTCAGCCATCCCCCAAATGCCCAGTTTAATCCAAGTCATGTTGCCTAACATGCCCAAGGCCCTGGGTTCCATCCCAAGCACCAGAGGGAAAAAATTAAACACCCAAAAAACACAACATAGTAATTTTAAAATCTGAGTTAAATGGTACTGCTGATTTCAACATCCAACAGAAAATCCTACAAAAGTCAGACTCAGATCAAATCTGAGGAGCCTGCTAGTTTTAACCCTGCATAGAAGAACTCATCTGTTAGAAAGGGCTTTCCACTTTCCACCTACAAGCAACATGGTCAGATACATTCTCCCACCACTAACAAACCACAGTACCACCTGAGAGTGCAAAAGAAGGCAAAGTGTCTGAGAACCGCCAAAAGTGAGGAGACCCACAGGTTCCCGGTCTCAGTCCCAAGGCTCCGCACATGCTAGGACAAGCTCCAGCCATGCCAAAGCCAGAGCTGCAGCCAGAGGCAGGAAACCAAAACTGGAACAAGAGGATGTATTTCAAAGACGTCAAAGACGTAAGTCTGTGGCCTTGATCATGATGCTATTGCATCGTCCACTTCTTCATGGGGTGCAGCGATTCAGAAACTCTAGCAACCACAGGGATCTTCTTTCTTCCCCCACAGAAAGGCACAGAGTCTCAGGGGAACTAAGAATCTGCATCACTCCAGAGAACTTAAGGTAAAGCACACACATCAGAGCAGAGGATAAAGCCCACATTTTTTATGAGAACAATAGTTGGGCAAGAAGATACAGTCCCCCACACAGAATTTCCCAAAGTAAGTGCTGGAACACTGGTGTGGGCATGTAAGGGAGCAATGGTTTCTAGAACTTTCCTCTCATACCAGCAGCCAAGAGGGAGCCTGAGCACAGAAAGTGATGGCAACGTGAGAGAATCAGCTCAAATTCCCTGGCTTGTGGTGCATTCTAAGCACCATGCACTAAGTGGGTCCCTAAGTTCCTGGAGGCTGGTCTAAGACCTCTGATGAAGCACAGAGCACCACAGCTGAGCAGCCGCCCCAGAAACACAGACCACAGGGACAGAGTGGCCCAATTTCCCTAATTTGAAGAACCCCACATAAGGACAGTGCTGGGAAGTTCACTATTGACATTTAATTCGGTTTAACAGTGTTTGTAAATAAAACATCTCCAGACAATAACCAGAAACGCCACGCTTTGTGGTGTTTCTCCGCACCTGTGGCGCAGTGCTACCACTGTACCTGGCTTGCCTTTGATGTCTGTGCTACTTGTGACCAAGGGACCTGGGAAGCCACAGGCATGGGACAACCTGACCCCGGTATGATTCAAGTGGGGATACAATGTCAAGGGGACAAGTGCCCCCATGTAACAGCCAACCAGTCCCAGTCAGAAAGGGGAGGGGACTGAGGCCTGAGTACCAGGACAACCTATGTTCCAGTAAGAGCAGCTAAACCTGAACAAAAGTTATCTACGCAAAACAAAACTCTTACATGCAGGATACTGTCAGTGAGAGGCTTAATTAAATGCTGTCCCCAGGCAGGCCTCAGGCAAGATTGAATTTTGGATTTCTAGACATTCCAGTGAGGTATTCCACTACTCTAAAGAGAAATCCACAATAACCCCTCTTCCCTTCAGTAAAGGATATGGAAACAATCACAAGCTTTTTAGGGGACACAGTGTTAAATTCCTGCTTATATCTAAAAAGCTTTTGCCTAAATATTCCCATTATTCACCTAATCTTCTCGGTAATAACAAGATTGGGACCTCAAAGTTTTCAAAATATCTAATACTATCACAAAGTTATGACAAATGTAAGAATCCTATGATAAAATACTACCGTTTGCGTCTATATGTCTCCTTTTGATGAACAAACTATTTTCCACTCTTGCTGAGTGGAAATACTGCCTTACACTGGTAAAGCGAAGGCCAGCAACAGAGTGGATCCACCAGTGTTACCAAACACGGAAAGTTAGCCTCGACGACAGAGCCTTCGGGGAAACACTCTGCAACTCTACCACTCTGATGCACAGGAGCACTCCAGGCACAGGTGTCCGCACCGGCTGCTAGTGAAACGTTTCCTAATTAGCATTTCTTTAAACAATGCAGATAACAATCTTGCCAGTATAACCCTCGCCAAGAGCTCCGCTGAGATTGTAGCGCCAATGCCACTGAAATTCCCTAAGAATCTCAGTCAAACTTTCTTTTGTTTATATTTCTTCGAGGTAAGAAATTACCTGTTCTGCGCCCCATTTGGCTTGCCCTCAGGCTCCACAGTCCAGCCCTATTGTATACAGTTCTTTTTAATCCTTCAAACAGTGAAATTCTTGGAGGAACGGGGGAACCCCAATTGGCCAGAGCCCTCCCTCTGGCGCAGAAAATTCCCCATTTGCCCTCAGGATTGAGTTGTCAGACACTGTCTTGCGCTACCCGGTGAAACTGACATGTCTATTTACAGGGAAACAAAGACGCGGCTCGCAGCGGACCCCGCTCCCTCCGCGCTCCCCGTGCGCTCCGCGCGCCGCGTCTTCTCTGCGCGCCCCTTGCCGCCCGGCGCCAGGGCCCTGCGTCCGGGTTCGGCCCGTGATTAAAATGGAGACTGGGCCGGCGTCCGGCTTCTGGGAAGACAATGACCCCCAAGGCCCCGCAGGGCGCGGAGACCTGCCTGCGCCCACCTCCCGCAGTTCCGACTCTTGGCAAACTCGGCGCGGGCGGGTCCGGGTGCGGCTCCGCCGCGCGGGTGGAGGACGAGAGGAGCGGCGCGGGCGGGGGGCGCGGGACGCCCCCGGGTTGCCTCCCGGGGCCGGGCGTTGACGCAGCAGAAATTACCAGCTGGAAAATTCCCCTTTCGGAGGTGACGGGGGAGGGACCGCGGCGGCAGGAGGTGCCGGGGCCGAGGGGCCGGGCAGCCCGCGGCCGCCGCCACCTCCGCGCTCAGCCCCGCGGGGATCCGCGCCCCCCGCCGCCCCGCCCACGCCACTCGGGTCGGGACCCGCGGCCGGGGTCCGCGCGCCGCCCCTAGTCTCCGCCGGGCGCCCATCGCCCCCGGTAGGGCGCCCCCGCGGGGCGGGGCGTGGCGGGCGGTGGGGCGGGGGCGCGCCAGGATCGGAGCGGCCGGACTACAGCGGCCCGGCCCGGCCCGGCCCCGCCACGGTACGCCGGCCCGGCCGCGCGGACAATGAGCCGGCGCCGCTTACCTGTGACCCCATGGGGCGCGGGCGGGCGCCGGGGCCGCCGGACCCGCGCCGGTGATCGCCGCTGCCGCGGGCGAGCGCTACGTGCGGGTGGGTCCGAGCTGCGTGCTCGCCGGGGCTGCTCGGTCCGCCCGCCGGTCCGTCCGTCCGTCCGTCAGGCCGGCGCGCGCCCCCGCGCCGCTCCAGCCCGGCGGCCCGCCGCCCGCGCGCGCCCCGCCCGCGGACCCTGACCCCGCCCCCGGCGCGCGCCCGCCTGCCGCTGATTGGCCCGCGCTGCTCCGGGCCGCGGCCACCGCCCCGGCCCCGCCCCCGCCGCCGGCCGCCGCCCCGCCCCTCGCCCGGCGACTCCGCGCAGCGGGCTGGCGGGGGCAGCGCGGCAGTCGGTCTGCACGCCCCCCCCCCCGTGGCGGCCGGACAGCGGAAGTGCCGGCTGAAGCTCGCTGGGCATTGTGGGAAGCCCCCTCCCCTGGCTGGCGGGCACTGGGGCGGCGCGGCGGGGGTCCCGGCCCGCGCGTCCCTTCCCGGTGGGTGTCGGGCAGCGGGGAGACCACCCAATGGGAGAGGCCGGCTGGGCGAGGGCGCCCGGCCCTGGGGACAGCGCACCTGGCGTTGCTTACGCGCCTGTTCCTGGAGCGCGCTGGTCCTCGGGTCACCGGTTGTCCCCGAACCCCGACGCGCCGTCGTGGTGCGCGCATCTGGCAAACTTCGCGACTTTCTCGCCAGCACCGGCGGATAGACGGGCCTCGGAGCGCTGGACGCCCAGACGCTCCAAGGCCGCCGGTGGCGCAATGCCCGGGAGAGCCTGGGTACCGCGCGCCCCCACCATCGAGGGACCTCGATGCACCCGGGAGTGGGCGCACCTTGGGGCGCTGGCCACGTGGCTATGCCCGCCACTGGGGCTGGGTTTTGGCCAATTATGAGCAGTGGCGCTTAGGTCCTTTCGTGGTGTAGTCGACCCGTAGGGTGCGGGGCTTGGGAAGGGGCGGAAGGCAAACGGCCCGGGTTTTGCTCGGATTCTCCAGCCGGCAATCCGATCGCGATTTGTGCAGCCACAGATGTGTCTCTTCCCACCCCCGCTCCCAGTGGCGTGGTGAGACCAGCGCCTCCCCCTCTCGCCTCCGCTGCCCTCGGGCGGACAGAATGGGGAGCTCGGCCCCGCATTCCTGGCTGGTCTGCGCGGGGGTAAAGGCCACCTCGCTTCCTCCCCCCAGCACGGCGGGAAGGGAGGTGAGCCTGTGGCCGGCCAGCCACGCAGCGGAGTCGAGCTCCGCTAGGTCAACCAATCGCAAAGCTCCCGGCGGTCCGCGCCCTGCCTCCCTGCGGGGCCAGGGCCGCGGAATTCCTCGGGAGGTGGGAGGCGACGGGCCATGATGGAGGCTTTCTCTGAATGTGTAAGGAGGCATTCACCCGGCGGCAGTGGGAGGGCAGGCTGGGGGAAATTCTCCTTGAGAGAGCAAGGGCGAGCCGAGGTCTGGCAGCCAGCAATGGAAGGCTGGGACACTCCCTCACTGCTCCGCGGCGCCTGGAGAAGGCTGTACAGACGCCCCCGCCCCAGCCTCTCTCGCCAGCCGCCTGAGCTGGCACTGCGGGTCCAGGAAACACCATCCCCAGCCTCTTTGCTGGAGGACCCACTTGGGATGAACCCAAGTGTCTCTGGCCCTTAGGAATTGGGGGCTGGGCACAATCACCCTGAGAAGTGGCTGCCTCTAGGCCTCCAAGAGGTTCTGACTGGTCACCTGCCTCTTCCCTTTGAGGAGGCAGAGGACACTGTCTGCAGATAGCCACTCAGCCCCCACTACCCACTAACCTGGAGCTCCGTTGGAGCCCATAGGAGGAAGTGAAGCAGGGAGAGGCCTCTTACGTCATCTCCTTGCTCAGAGACACCCCGTTTTTCCCAAAATGGTGGGGTGGATGACAGTGTTTGTGTGCCATGTCCATGTTCCATTCAGGACTGTAGAGCAGTGGATGCTGCCTTGCCAGAGCATTCTGGTGCTCAGTCATTGCTCAAGAGGCCTGCAGGTGAGAATGAGGTCTGTCTCACCACTGCAAGGCCCATTCCACCTGCCAGGCCAGGGCTGCCTCTCTGCTCTTATTGGGTCCTAGGATAAGCCAGGACAGAGGGACCGCACTCCTGATTCGCACCCTTCACCAGTGACTAAGGACCAAGATTTTCACTTTCCTGTGCAAGAGCCAACAGCAAGTCAAGCAGCGTGGACATAAAGTCAACACTTTGAAAAGGCAAAACCAAGATCGAGCCCCAGAAAGAGAGCCCTGATCAACCTATGCCTAAAGCCACCCCATTTCCACACCTTCGTTGTTCCGAGGGATAATAAACTTCTTTATATTTAAAAACAAAAGCAGGAAATGGCATCTGCAGCCTCTGAGCAAAACTGGGCAGCAGGGTGGGGGATACATCACCTGAACTGTGTGCCACCTAGATGTGTGTTCTGGTGGGTCAGTGTGCTGCATGGCCAAGGAACCCTGCCTTCATCAGGCCCAGCACCCACAGCACTGCTGGGAGCCGGACTCAAGGCAGACAGATGCCAGACTGGATCGCCCCTCTCACTGCAGTCCCTGGTTGCTGGTGCCTGACAGCCATGGGCTTCTCATGGACACTGGCTGCTCCGCCCTGAAGGCAGGTCTGGAAATAGGTGGGGATGGGTGTGTGTGATGGGCTTCAGAGGCACTCTGCCCCAGGCACCCTGGCCTTCAGGGCAAGGGATGGAGGTGCCACCAGGGATTGTACATGGTCCCTGCCCTCAACAAATGGATGGACAAGACAGGCAAGCAAATGGGCAGCCAAGGCCCTGCAGATCACTCTTGTCCTTACTGTGTGGTGTGGTCATCTAGGAAAGCCACTCCAGCCACCTGTGTGAGCATGTTTGGTCCTGCCTGGGGACACCCCAAAGCTGCAAGGAGCAGCAACAGGCCAGGCGTTCTGAGGAGCCAGGGAGTGGGGCAGTGTGTAGAAGCTGCTCTTGCCACCGGTGTGCTTGCTGATGCCAGCTCCTCAGAACGTGCCCTCTTGGCCCCGGGGACCTGGACTGACTCCACAGGAGCCAACAACAGTGGGAGAGTCACATGGCTGGCAAGCTACACATACATCTCTGCAGACCTGTGCTTAGAGACCCCTGCGCCACGCTCCGCCAGCTGGCTGCCTGCCTCCCACCCCTATTGTGGGCTGCAGTAGGGCAGAGGAGGAGGGAGGGGTGCAGCCCTGTGCCAGGTGCCTGTCTCCTCTCAGGGGCTGCTTTTGTGAAGAACACACTGGGAGGAGCTTTGGAAGAGAAAATTACAAAGAAACAGCAAATATCCCTTCCTGTCTTCCTTCCGAGTGTCCTGGGGGGCACCCCACCCTCTCTGCCATTGCCAGGGCCTTCACCATCCCCATCTTCCCCAGCCACTCCAGCAGGGTTTTCTGTGCCTTTCTTTGTCTCAGTCACTGGTCAGAGAACCTGCCTGTTTATTCTCCAGCCAGTGGTGTTGCTCAGCCGTCCCCATGGCAACAGCCCTGGGAGTCCTGCCCCCTCCCAGGGAACTGCCCATAACCTGTCCCTGTCCTCTCCAGGCCTCTGCTGGAAGCCCAGAGAGAAAGGCAGAGAGCAGGGCGGAGAAGCAGACACCCACTGCGGGCTGAGGATACTGGGCTGCCCAGGGGACCGCCCACTCCACGTCATCCTGGGTCCTGCTTGTGGATGGGAGGTTGGCCTTGGGCTGCAGCAATGCCACACCCATGGGCTGGGGAGAGTGCCTCACCCAGGCTGGAGTGAGGTGGGCCTCCTCCTAGGCATAGCTTGGCCAGGTTCACGGCCAGCTGGCCCTGCCCTCATGCCCAGGCCTCCCCAAGACCACCCTCCAGAGCTGCTCTGGGCCAGGGGCTACCTGCCAACCCTGTGGCTGCCCCACCCCAACTGCCCTGCAGTCCTGTGCCCCTGCCAAGCCCCAACTGCCACTCCAGCTGCCACCGCCAACTGTCGCCCCATCTCTGTTCCAAGCACTCACTCACCCCCAGCCGTCCTTCCAAAGTAGTACTGCCAACTGTCAGCCCTCCTTCCCAGTCCCTGCTCCCACCGCCGGCCCAGCACCACAGCTCTGCATTCCAGGCTTCCCCACCTCCTGCCAGGTCATGGTGAGGCCACACCTGCCTTGTGCCTGGCGGGGGAGGTGTTAAGGGCCCGAGAACAGAGAGCAGTGTTGGAGGGTAGGGGAAGAAAGTGAAGGGGCTGGGGTCCCAGAGCCCAGCAGACAGAGGGGAAGGGCAGCCTGACAGTGCCTGCTGCCATGGCTGAGCCCAGCACAGTGGTAGGAAGCAGCCAGGGCCCTAGCAGGACCAAGCAGGTGTCCTCAAGTGGGTCGTGACCAGGCTGAGGCACGGAGCTGGGCTTGTACATGGGTCTCTCCTCTGAGGGTGTGCCAACAGCTTGGCCTGACCACAGACCCTGGGAGGATCCCCAACAGGCGTCTCTCTGGGGTGCTGGCCCTGGCTTTGCTGCTCCTCTTCCTCCTCACAGCCCCCTTTCCCCATTCATCTCATGGTCTCCATGACGTGTCACTTCCATTGGAGGAGATACTCACCTGACACCCACCCCCTTCCTCATGGAGTCCACTAGACTCTGTCCTCAGCCCCAGCAGAGCCTTGGGCACATTACAACCCTAAAATGGGTCCTGGCCGTGTTAGAAGGAGGCACTGCTGCCCCTTGCAGGTGCGAGCCTGGGGTTGAAATTCCATCTGAGTCTGCACTGGCAGGACCATGGGGGCTGGGCTCAGTCCGCTTCCCCAGGGGCCTTCCTTGCACAGGCTGGTGATTGCTAGGCAGATAGCACTGCAGGAGAAGGGACACCTGGCTCTCCCTGTGTCGCTGTTCTTTGGGGACAGCCAGCCCTTCAGGCTGGGACACACTAGGGGAGGAGGTACTGGGAGCTGTGTCAGCATGTTGGTCAGGCTGGCCCTGGGAAGAAGGGAAGAGACAGGGTGTGTTTGCTAAGAACCTACTGTGTGCCAGGAATCTCCCCAAGTGGGGAGGGGAAGCACTTACCCAGGACCCTTGTGGCCCTCCCTCCCAGCTGGGGCCTGGGAGAGGGAGAAAGCTTGTGACTGGGGCCCCAGAGGCCTGTGGATGGAGCCTCTCTCCAGGGATGCAGACCCTCCCCTCCCACCAGAAGAGGTCCTCTGGGGTCCCCTGGTGGGTGCACAGAGGCCCAGGCCTGAGTGGGGCCAACAAGTGGCCTCAACTTCATTTGTTTGATCACCCACTGGTCAGATAAAGGCCAGAGCTGCCTGTGCTGGGCCACACCCAAGTCGGAGTGAGCGTGGGGAAAAGAGGATGAGCAAGAAGTGCTAGAAAAATAAACCTTCCCTGCAGCCTCCAATGATACCTGCAGTGGTACCTGCAGGCTCTCCCCCTCCAACAGGTGATGAGCACCACACACACCTGCGGTATGGAATGGGCTTTGGGATCTCTTCTAAAGAATAGGGCCAAGAAAGGGACAGAGAGGACCTTTGTGGCCAGGATACCTGGCAGGCTCAGTCTTACCCTGGTGATCCAGGTTAGCATCACCAGATGAGGGTGTGGATGTAGGTACCCTTGCTGTGACATGGGGAGAAGGGCACCTCACCTCAATCTCACCACAGGAAAGTGAGTCTGACGGACCCTGACTGAGAGACCTTCCGTGCAACACCTTACCTGGTGCTCCTCAGGAAAACGAGGGAAGCCAGAGAATGGGTCACAGACAGAAGAACCTGAGCCTTCATGACAACCTGAAGCACTGTTGTGCCTGGGTGGGGGACTGTGGGACAGAAGGAGGACATGGAGGAGAAAGTCTAGCTGCAGTGAAGAGATGCCCCACAGGGGCTCCCACAGATGATTAGGGAGGGGCACACAGGAACTTGCTACACTTGGCAACATTGCAACTTTTCTGAAATCTAAAATCACTCCAAAAATAAAGTTTATTTTTAAAAACAGGAAAAAAAATGCAAAACCCAAAGAAAACCACCTCCCATAGGCTCTGGCTGGGAGTTAAGCAGACTCTGAAGGTCTGTTTCAGCCAGGTGCTCATTTATAGTTTGGAGTCAGAACTTCCGGATGCTCTTGGCTCCGCCCAGCCCTGAAACTCTCACAGGCCACAGGGACCACAGAAAGAGCTAACGGAGCCAGGAATGCTCCTTTATTCTGTGTTCCCGAGTGAGTGCCTGTGTGTGGTGAGCTGTGAGCTCTCGCAGGATATGAAAAACTTGCCTGAACACTGTGTGGTGGGATTTGGCCACCCTCCATCCTGGCCTCCACCTGCAGGCGCTCAGCCCCGAGGTACCCCACACCCCTCTGAGTCTGCTCAAGAAAACTCAATGGTACCAAACTGCCAAAGGTGCTTCATCCTGACCCATGCTGCCAGACCGTTTTCAGTAATTTTTTACTCCTCCAGCCTCTTCGATCCCTTCTTTTCTCCTTTAAAAACATTGGTCACACACAAAAAAGACCCACCTTGATAGAGCTGGGCATGTTGGCAGGCTGTGATCCCAGGGACTCAAGAGGCTGAGGCAGGAAGATCATAAGTGTGAGGCCAGCCTGGGAAGCTTAGCAAGACCCTGTCTCAAAATAAAATAAAAAGGCTGAGGTTGTAGCTCAGGAGTCAAGCACCTCCAGGTTTGATCCCCAGTACCACATCCACAGTATGCATGTGTCTGTGTGTGAGGTGCTGGGATCAGACCCAGGGCCTCGAGCATTTTAGTTAAGCATTTTTCCATTGATCTATACGCCCAGCCCACAACAAAAATATGTTTTTTTTTATTTGTTTATTTTAAGAAAGGGTCTTGCTAAGTTGCCTAGGCTGGCCTGAAACTTGTGATCCTCCTGCCTTGGCCTCCTGAGTAATTGGGATCACAGGCATGCACCACCAAAACATGCAAAAATAGTTTATAATGGGGCTGGGGTATAGCTCAGTGGTAGGGCATGTGTCTAGCTCTGGATTGGATCCCCAACACCTAAGAAAAAGAAAAGAAAGAAAATTTTTAATAGAAGGCCTGAAACAAAAGCCGTACCTGCCATAAAACTGGTTGGCATCAAGTCTGCCCTGCGTCCTTCCACCCCATGCTGTGGTCTCAGTAAGATCTGCTCTTCTGCCCTTGACAAGTGTCTGCTGCTGTTTCTCTCCGTGGTCCAGAGAGCTGGGGGTCGTGCACACTCCGGGCTTCATTGGCGTGTGCTTCCACATCTGTGTATCCTCGTGCCTGTGGTGTGTGCTCCTCTGCAGATGACGGCCCACATTTGTGTGAGAGTCTGAGTGTGTGTCCACACACTCTGGTGAGTGTTCCTCTCTCTTGAATGCCCAATGCCAAGCCCACTTCTAGTCTTTGGGCAAG